TGCGGGGGGGGGTGGTGCCCAGCCTCCCTGCCTCTGAGCCGCGGCTGCTTCGGCTGGTGGGCCACCATCGGTGTTTGGGGGGACTTGCTGGACCGTGTGGTGGCAAGCACGGTAGCGGGTGTCACTGGTGTAAAGCAGCTCGTGGTTATGGCTGACGGTAGCTCTGGCTGTGTCCCCGAGCTGCTCCTGTTTGCTCTCTCCATTCTCCTGTGCGTATCTAGACCTGTGTAGCGTGAAGGACTGTCACCTCCAACGGCCTTTCGCTGTTTCCACAGTAAATGTCGGGGTAACGGTTGCCTTCAAGGAGCAAGCCCTGCCCAAGGACTGAGGGTTCAGGAGCTGCTGCCCAGGAGAAGGTTGACTTTTGATGCCCCACCTGCTGTCTCTGCTGCATGCGATGCCCTGCCTCATCATCGTCCCTGTGCCAAGAGGCTTCAGCTTGCCTCAACCCTTGCTCTAGCAGTCCCGACTCTTTTGGTTGAATACGGTTTGCTCCAATTTGTGGATCTGGGGTCAACTCCTATAGGGGAGTCCCAGCTCCTGTAGAAGTAAGAGCTGCAGGTGACCTTGAGAAAACAGCCAGGCCATCCCACAGCCCCAGGCAATGCTGACCTTACCTGCAGCGTTCCTGGCCGAGGTCTATTCAATCTGCCCCAAAAGCTCATCACAGGGGTGTGGAACCCTCCTCTTCTGTTACCGTCTGGTTCAGAGCTCCATCGTCCCCTGTCAGGGTGTTTCTCTTGTGTCACAGTGAGGAAAAACTGAGCTGAACGTTCACTTACTGCTGCTCATCCCTGCAGACAGCCCAAACCACTTGCTCTCTTTCTTCTCTTCTGCTTTATTTGTGTATCTGGAGCCCTGGCTGCTGCTGAAGAGTGTCTGGTGTCCTGCAGACCGCAGGCAGCGTCATGTTGACACATGGAGCCGCTCTTCTGCAGTGCTGCTGTTTGTTTAACTTTTTTAACCCCTCCACTAATTGTGCAGATGATCACTCCTGCCTGGAAGTACAACTGAGCCTAGAGCCATTGCCAGCTCTCTAACAGAAAGCAGCTGGAGCAGGGGAGCTCTAGTAGACATCACCAGGGGAGGTTCCTGGCCAGGGCAGGTCAGGAGAGCAGATGTTATCAACGTTGTCTTTTCCTGACTGAAAACCTATAGCTCAATAGCTCACCTGGGCTTTGGAGAGCCAAAATGTGACCCAGGGTGAATTCGCCCAAGGCCAAAGCAGCTCAGCTTTGACTTTGTGCAAGAGGTGGATTGAAAATAGGCACCAACTGGAAATTATCACAATACTCAATCGCCCTTGGAAATTCTTCAGATGTGCTACCAGCATCTCTGGCTGTTGCATTAAGGTCAGCGTTCCCCGCATCAGCGCTCAAATCCCTGTGCAAATCCCTGCTCAAATTGCTTTGTCCTTGGAGCAAATGTTGCTTCCAAATCTCCTCTCGAGCAAAGACTCTCCCGTGTGGAGCTGTGCTCCAGCACAATCTGGGAGCAGATATAATAAAACTACTAGTGTCTGGAGCCGCTAGAGCTAATGATTCGTCGCCCCGGCCCCTCGTTTCCATCACCTTTGCTGTTTAGTGCTTGGGTGCCCTGCTCATCTCATTTCTTTTTGGCCCCGGTCTATAGAAACTTGGGCCCATCTCCAGCGAGGTCGTTGACACCGATGCTGCTATGTCGTCCCCAGTGCAGATCCAGCTCCAAGATGCTGATATCAAGGTGGCTTCACGCTGGGGAGGGCCAGAGCAGCGCGAGGAGCTCTGCAGCAGGACGGCGTCCGCAGTGCGGCTCTGCCGACCTCACTCAGCCTCACCGCTGACATGGTGGATCCTCGGCTCTCTAGGATCCATGCTTCAGCCTCTTTATTTTCTCCTTATTTTCCATTTATTTTTCTCCTTATAGTCTACCCTGCTTTTGGAATTGAGAGTTCTTGTGTTACAAATAGGGACCTGAAGCCCAGGGTGAACCAAGTGACTTCCCAAAAAACCTTCTGGAGGGTCCGGGTTGGGGGAAGAGGGAAACGCGCTCCACCGCTCCGGCGGCAGCAGCAGTTTCTCCGGCGCGGGCAGCTCCTGGCACATGTTCACCCCCAAGCACAGGCACGGGCCCCCTGTACCAGACCACACCAGCTACACATAAAAGTCCATATTTGTTATTTCTTCTGCATTTGCGCTCTCTGTTCTCAATTTCAACTTCCTCCCTCCAATCTATTAATGGGGAAACATCCGGATGTAAAATCCTGGATTCAAAAACTGAGAGCCATGATTTATTCCTCGAGGGAAGCGCCCCGTTGAGGCTGCACGCACCACATGGACACCCATTAAAAAGCCTCTCTGCCACCCCAAAAAGCAGCTTTGGTAGAAGCAGGAGGATGAACCCCCAAGTAACTGGGCCTGAAAGGGCTTTTCAGGATGGTTTTTTTGATAGTGTCTTCTATTTTTAAATATGTTGGTGATAGAAACCTAGGCAGACTGAAGAAATGGAAGGGTTAAACATAAAAGAGGTGCTTTTTCAGTCTGTGGATCCAAAATTAACAGAGAAAGTCTTCTGCCCTTCAAGAGCTCTGAAGGAGGACCACGGCTCTCACGGTTTGCTACTCCAAAGGATGGCCTCGTGCCATTTGCATTGCCTTTGCTCAGCGTCGCGGTGGCCTTTCCAAAAACAAGATCTGAAACCAACCCAAGTCTCTCGTCTGCAAAACACAGCTGTGGGTTTTACAGCTCCGGCTGGAGATTTTTAAGCAGATGATCCTAAATTCGGCAGCAAACAGCTTTTGAAAAACAAGCAGCGGAGGCTGCTTCGCACTCCAGCATAGCACAGCGTGAAAGGACGGGGAAAAGCCATTAAAAGTTGCTTCCCCTTGTCCCAGGCGTAAGGAGGGACGAGCACGCTTCCCCTCGCCGGGGTGCTGCACGGTGATGAACCGAAAATTGGCTTCGGAGCACATCCCGGCGCCTGAGCAGGAACCTGCCAGGGAATCAGAGCCATCTGATGGTTTGCCTTTAGATATTTAATTGCGTTTAAGCTAATCATAGACACGAAGCAGGGCAGGATTGGGGCTGTGGTTTCTTTGGGCTCCGGGAGCCGGAGCGAGTCGGCGTGGGAGGTGCGTGTCGGTCGTGTGCCTGCTCCAGGCACCGGCAAAGAGCCGTGCCGTGGCCGGCAGGTTGCCGGGGACAGCAAAAGGGATGTGGCGTGATGCCGCTCTGCCCGTGCAAAAGAGACGGGAGCCAGGAGCAGCCAGGGCGCCCACGTCCCCCGTCACCGCGGTGCCCAGACGAGCGGTCGTGGGGGCTCCAGCATCCTTGAATCCACCCCGAGCCCAGCCGGCGTGGGTTGAGCGGGGGTGAGCTCGGGCCGTGCAGCTCTGCCCAGCGCAGGGATGTGCGCTTCGAGCGCACGATGGCAGCTGGGTGCCCGCCTGTGTTTGAGTTCAGCCGGGGCGTCAGCCTTAAAGCCCACCCGGGGGGGGTCTGGACACATCAAAATCGCATCCCTGGAGCACACCGGAGACTGGGCACAGACTTCCCTGAAACCTGGCTTCTCCCTAAGACGGAATTGAGGACAAAACAGATTACTTAAATCCAGAGATTTCTCTGCAAGATATTCTCTGATGCCTTAACTAATCATCTGCCTGGGCTCCCTTTAAAAGCACGAGTTTCGCTTTTGATAAATTGTATTGATACTTCATTTCTTCTTTTTTGTATTGATACTTCATTTCTTCTTTTTTAGTTTCCTCCAACATCTCTTCTTCTATTTCATTACTCAGGTCACCTTCCTCCTTTCTACAATTTCCCTGCTGGTAAATGGCCACCGTGGGCCTGCCCAGCATTAACCATTTGTGAGTGGGTAACGTATGCCGTTCCCTCTTCTCTGTTTTTTCAAAAAGGGAAGTAGAAAAGAAAATTACACATCACATCAAAATTTCCAGTCTGTCACATACACAATAATGTGATGGTCTCTAGCCAACGAGGAGGATGTTAAACTGTAAACAAAGCTAAATATTGAGTTCCCAGGCTTCTTGTAATTATATAAAGTGGATACTGTCTTGTCTTTTATGGAGTTTTCCAGGAAATATTATGAAATGAGACTTCCCAAGCCTCTAATGCGACTGTTGCATAAATACGTAGCGATTTATACTGGGAGAACATTATTAACATCCCCTGTCAGGACAGACTGCAACAGAGCAAGACGTGCTGTAAAGGAAAGCAGATAAAGCAGAGTCCATAACACCTTTGCTTCTAATAAGGGGCAACCTTTCCCAAAGCTCTTCCTGAGAACACTCTTGAGGATGTTTTTCCTCCTGGGAGGAGAGGGTGGAGGACCCGGAGGCAGCATGATGGGCTACAGGACTGCCTCGTCCCTCAGCAGAATCCAACATTTTTATTTTCTCCTTCCTGGAGAGGAAGGAACATGCCCGATGGCAAAAGCTTCGCCATGAGTCACATCGTATCTACATACGTGCTTGTGATTCCCCAAGCTGACGTGAGGTGGGAATCCAGCCAAAACCACCAGCCTCGTCCGAACCAAAGGGAAACATCTTGAGATGTTCACCAGCTATGACTGCAGGAGATTTTGCAGCAGCCTGGAGGAAAAGGTCATCCCTCCTTGCCCGGAGACGGGGTGCTGAGCCTGAACCAGCCCTTACGAGCACACAAGTGGTGGAACGCCAGGCTGACTGTTGAAACCCCCAGCTCCCGTGCTCTGGCTTCGGCAGTGCGGGGGGTTAGTTACCCTGTTACCCCATCGTATGGCAGCCAAATGGTTTCCATTAAAACTCTTTAAAAAAAAAAAAAAAAAAAAAAAGAAGCTTTTTGGAGTCCGGAGATCTTTGACAAAGCTCAGCTGGCTCCATGCTCCCTCCGCGATGCTCCCAGGGCAGTTCTCCATCCCTCCCCTGCCCCACCACGGGCCTGCGGCCGCACGGCGTCGCACCGCTTCCCCTGCAGCAAGGCGGCTGGGTCGTCACCTTGATGGGAGCGAACACCTCGTCCAAAAATCTGCTCTTGGAGAGGAGGATCTGGTTCCAGGCTGGCTGCAGTTAAGCGACTGCCTGAAGCTGTGAGGCTGTTGAAAACAGTAGAGAAGCAGAGAAAACAGAGCCGGAGGGGTGCCTTGACAAATTGTCTAATCCCCCTGTTCCAACGCAGGATAAGCACAACTTAAAGCCCTCCTGATGGATGTTTGTCTAATCTGTGATTTTTCTTTTTTCCCCCGCCCTGAAACTCCCACTACTGGAGAGCTGACACCAGGCAATCTGTCCTGGCGCATTGCTCTATTTACATTTAGTCAGTCCCCAAATGCCTCGCTAAAGCTCTCTTACTG